AGGTACATCGATTGGTACACTAGCTCGCAGTTATGAACAAGGTCAGTCATCCCGGTCAGTCTAGATAAAGGAAAAAAGAAAGGTACACGCTCGAACTGCAGAAACTGTTTTTGGCAGAGTGGCGTTTCAATCTCAGTACTCAAAGTTCAAGACTAAATTTGCCAGAGTCAGACAATATATACCCATCTGTCACTACTGTCAAACAAAAGGTCACACTAGACCTGAGTGTTACTTTTTCTATAGAGATCAAAGGAAGGAGAAATATCCGAACAAGTCTATTACTCCGTTCACAAGACAGGTTTGGGTCAGGAAGTCAGAAGTAATATGCTATCCCACTATAGTTTTGACTGCTTCTATGACTGAAGCAAGATGGTATTTCGACATTGGTTGTTCCAGACATATGACAGGAAATGTCAAGTGTCTTATGGTTGTTCAACCTAGTAGTGGATCAGTTACATATGGAGACGGACAAAAAGGAAAAATAGTTGGAAAAGGTACCCTAAATGTACCAGGTTTACCTCATCTGGAAGAAGTTCTATTAGTCAGTGGTCTGAAAGCAAATCTTATTAGCATCAGTCAGCTGTGTGATCAAAACTGGAATGTGTGTTTCAATCGTAACTGTTGCAGAGTCAGTGATAAAGCAAATCAACTGGTTATGGAAGGAACACGATCCTCTAACAACTGTTATGTTCTGACTAACGAAATTGCCTGTCGTTTATCTAAATCAGATGAATCAAAACTATAACATAGACGATTAGGTCACATAAACTTCAGAGATATGAATAAAATGATTAAATTAGATGCTGTGCGAGGAATACCTAAGATTAGAATAGAACAGGAAGGAGTTTGTGGTGCATGTGCCAATGGAAAACAAATAAGGACTCCTCACAAAGCAGTAAAAGATATCACAACCGAGAGATGCCTAGAACTGGTCCATATAGACCTCATGGGACCAACACAGACTGAAAGCATTGGCGGAAAGAAATATATATTTGTGTGTGTAGATGACTTCTCTCGGTTCAGCTAGGTATACTTTCTAAGAGAAAAACCTGAAGCTTTCAATGCCTTTAGAACCTTGTGCATAAGGGTTCAAAAAGAAAAGAACGAGCCTATAATAAAAATCCAAAGATTGAGAAGTGATCATGGAAAAGAATTTGAAAACTCTTTATATTCAGATTTCTACTCCGAAAATGGTATAGCTCATGAATTCTCAGCTCCCAGAACAGCTCGACAGAATGGTGTGGTGGAAAGAAAGAATTGAACCTTGCAGGAAATGGCTAGAGTTATGTTACACGCATCGCATCTGCCACAGCGTTTCTGAGCTGAAGCAGTACACACAGCATGTCATACTGTAAATAGAGTCTACCTCAGACCAGTTACGTCCAAAACACCATATGAGATCTGGAAGTGGAAGAAGCCGAACTTGAAGTATATTCATGTGTTTGGAACAAGGTGTTATGTGCTGATCGATAGGGAACAAAGAGGGAAGTTTGAACCTAAGAGTGATAAGAGCATTTTTCTTGGGTACTCCCCAAACAGTCGAGCTTATCGAGTCTACAACAAAACAACTCAACCTGTAATGGAACCAGTAAATGTTGTTATATATGACAATCCTGAAGAATCTGTTGAAACATAAGTAACTTATCCAGAGACAGAACCCCCTCTCAGTGAGTTAAATACAGTCGAGGACACCAGACTGCCCAAAACACAAGATTCGTCAGAAGAAGATAAAGAAAGTTCTGAATAGGATACCCTTCTCTCTGATGACGTGGGTAAGAACAAACCCACCAGAACTCAGAAAAATCATCCATCAGACAACATTATTGGCGATCCAACAGATGGAATGAACACCAGGAGCTGGATGAGAAACAATCTGATAGAAATATCCGGATCAGCCTGCTATACCTCAAAAATAGAACCAAAAAGTGTAAAGGAAGCTTTACAGGATGATCTGTGGATCAAGGCTATGCAAGAGGAGCTACACCAGTTTGACCGGAATCATGTTTGGGATCTGGTACCAAGACCTGATCGTGTTAACATAATCGGAACAAAGTGGATCTTCAAAAACAAAACTGATGAAGCTGGAAATATTGCAAGGAACAAAGCTCGGTTGGTTGCTCAAGGGTACACTCAAATAGAGGGAATTGACTATGATGAAACGTTTGCTCCTGTGGCAAGACTAGAGTCGATCAGAATTTTGTTGGCATTCGCATGTATTCTGGGATTCACACTGTTTCAGATGGATGTTAAGACATCGTTTTTGAATGGGTACCTGCACGAAGATATCTATGTGGCTCAACCGAAAGGGTTTGAAGATCCAGATCACCCATCTCATGTCTACAATCTCAGAAAAGCCCTCTATGGGCTCAAACAAGCTCCAAGGGCATGGTACGAACGACTGACACAGTATCTGCTACACCATGGGTATAAGCGAGGGAGTGTGGACAAAACCCTGTTCGTAAAAACCACTGGAAGTCATGTTACTATTGCTCAGATTTATGTCGATGACATTGTCTTTGGATCTACTTTACAAAAGTACACTGATGATTTAGTAAAGGTCATGAAGGAAGAATTTGAAATGTCCATGGTTGGCCAACTGACATACTCTCTAGGGCTGCAAGTTAAACAAAGTCCTGAAGGGTACTTTATCTCACAGGAAAAGTACGCTAAGAGTTTGGTCAAGAAGTTTGATCTGGAATCGTGTAAACCATCCAGGACACCTATTTCTACCTCTACAAAAGTGTCTAAAGATGAGACTGTGCATCAGTTGATAACACAGTTTATCAAAGTCAGATAGGAAGTCTGCTTTACTTAACCGCTAGTCGACCAGATATAATGTTCAGTGTTGGAATATGTGCAAGATATCAATCTGATCCAAAAGAGTCACACTTGATAACTGCTAAACGGATCTTGAAATATATAAAAGGAACAATTCAATATGGACTATGGTACTCCAAGGACAGTGAACTTAGTCTGGTTGCATATTGTGATGCTGATTGGGCAGGAAATATTGATGACAGAAAAAGTGCATCGGGTGGATGCTTCTTTGTTGGAAAGAACTTAGTATCATGGCTGAGCAAGAAACAGAATTCAATCTCCTTAAGTACTGCAGAGGCAGAATATATAGCCGCTGGAGGATGTTGTACTCAGTTGGTGTGGATGAAACAGATGCTTCTAGACTATGGTCTTACTCAAAGAATTATGACACTCTACTGTGATAATGTCAGTGCAATTAATATCTCAAAGAATCCAGTTCAACATTCCAGAACGAAGCATATTGATATAAGGCATCACTATATCAGAGACTTGGTAGAATCCAAAGAGATAGAGTTGGAATATATTCAAACAGATAAGCAATTGGCTGACATACTGACTAAACCCCTGGATGCAAATCGGTTTGAGATTCTCAGATCTGCTCTGGGAATCTGCAGGATTGACTAATGAGGCAGTATGAAATACAGAAGGAGAGTATATGGTGTCACAATTACGGGTCAAATTTCAGCCTTTGACTTCCTTTTAAATCTCTCTTCTGTTTTTGTTAAAATAATATCTTAACCTCAGTTACCATAAATTAATTCGCCTTTTCGAAATTCAAATCTTCAACTTTTCTGTTTCATCCCTAAAAAGGAGGTATACCGTTGCGTCAATCACATCAGCTCTGCATGCATTCTGACAAGTCGCATTGAATAGGGTTATTCACCCTTGGGATTATATATGATATTTGGGTCAAGTGTGAAGGAAGAAGAGTTCAAAATATCTCCTTGCTCTCTGATTATTTTCTCTCTGATCATCTACCTAGGGTTTCCCTTCTCGCATTCCCATATCGCACAACAATGGCGAACGCCGTAAAAACACTGCTCCAATTAGCTATGAAGAAGAAGTTGAAGCTTGACTCTGTTCTTCGTGATGAAATCATGGTCACCGTGCTTTCAGATTATCCGGAGTTCTATGCAGACTGGTCCGAAGATGACACCACTGAGCTTTTGATGCTGGCCTCAGAAGTGGATGATGATGTTAGCCCTGCATCTATTCCAGAGCCTGCAGATGGTAATCGTGCTGGGGCATTCCTTCAATATTTTGCTCAAAGGGCTCTTGAATCAGAAGAAGTCTCACGTCGTCGAGCAGCAGCTCACCCCCTCTATCTACAAGCTGCCCAGGACGAAACCAAACACTGGCTTGAGATTCTTCGTAACAGGTCCAATACTTCTGAATCTCCTAATGAAATCTCCCCTGACAAGCCTGATGATTTAATTTCTGATGCTATTAAGTCTGCTATGCCTATTATTCAATCTGATAATGAGAATGCGTTAATATCTGCGAAATCTTCTGTGTCTGATGATCCTCCTTGTGTCCCCTCTGAAAAGTCTGAACCTTCAAAAGAAGTTGTTGACAATGTGTCTGAAGAGAAAGATAAATCCTCACTAAACAATCTGAGTTTGGTTGTGTATTCTGCTGATATTGTGAAATCTACAATCCCTGCTCTGCCCTCTACTGAAACTGCTGTGTCTCCAATTGAGATGTGCCTGGCTGATAATTCCTCTAAATTGCCCACTGAAATTGAGGCTGCCAGTAATTCAAGTCCTCATGCATCTGATCCGATCGATGGGGTGCCTGTCTATACATCTTCGTCTTTGGCTGAGAGCCTTGAACACGTCCGGCATTTTGCGGGTTTACCTTCTGCCTCTGTTCCAGAACCGTATAGAGTCATTCATCATACTGAGTTCTCTAGTGAAGACGAGAAGCTTCTTACTGAGGTGTATGGTTCACAAGCCCAGTTGTCTAGACCCCCTACAGTAAAAGCTACAGCTCATCCAGATTCAACCACCTTCAAGATTTGAGAGGTTACCAATCTTCTTGGAAGTTCATCTGCCCCAGTGTCAGACACAAGCCACTCAGTTTCACCAAGCCCTTCTGAACATTCTCCATCCAAGGAAACGAGAAAATCCAAACGCAAGAGTGTCCTTGTAAGAGTTGTTGAAACAGGTGATGACAATCTTGAT